ATTCGGGTCCTGTAAATATTAACGGGTTCGAGTTCGAGTTTGCTTCAAACCCGACCCGACCCGACCCTTACGGAGCAGTTCCTAGTGATTCGTCATTAAGGAAACGATATAAGCTCAACCGTCACTATATCTAATCAGAACGAAATACTTGAATTTTCTGAAAATGGTATTGATTTTTAAAGTATTATCAGCCAGTAAGTAAAATTTCCCGTAAATCGATTCCATCATGGCTATTTCAAAAGACTATCGTCAAGAGCCATCCTACTAAAAATATAGAAAATTAGGTGGCGAGTTGGAACAAATGAATATCCTTTTATTTTGTTGTACCCACCGCACACTTGTATGAAAAGTATGCAGTGCAACATATCCATAACTCCAAAGGTGAGCCAGTTCAAAGAATACCTACACCAGCATGTTTTGAAAATTGGCTTGTGAAATACTAGGAAATAACCATTTGTAGTCCAGAGCGACGAATATGCTGATGTGTTAATACAGTAGATAATTAATTAAATGTTAACAATTGCAACTTTTTAACGAGTGTTCTTTTTGTCTAGAATATTAGTGTTACTGTAACATATTAATAAATTATTTCTTGTTCGACATCATCAAATTAAATTTGAATCGTAATTATCCTATGGCGGATTGATCCTGCCCCCAAGAAAAATACGTTTCGTCCGTCATTAGACCCAATAATATTTTTGGAATTAGACTAGCAGAGGAATAAGAAGATTTGTTTAAAGCTTAAGTACAACTTGAACAATCGGTTCGTCCTGTAAGATCTACACAATTGTAATATCTTTCATAACTAAAACTAATGCAGTTTTTAGTGTCACAATTTCCTTCCCAGGGAGCGTGAAAAAAAAGAGAGATGGGTGACTAATCTATGTCAACAGGTCAACAGTCTTAATGCTTTTAGCTTCTTCTAAAATTTACCAAAATATATAACAAAAATCAATATAATTTCTCTGTCTACCAGATCAGCACCAATTTCAATACAAAGTAAAATGTTATTTTTAATGTAACAGAATTTGCATTATGGTGAATATTAAGATTGTATTTTTTTTCAAAATTTATTACATTTATTACAATTTGAAAATAAGTTACATTATGAGTTTGTTAAATATGTCAAATTCGGGTTATTAACAAATTCATCTGTCATTTCTCTCATTTACTTCTATATAGTTTTGAACTTAAATATTATATGTTAATGTCAATTATGAAATATCATTCTCAGTCGCAGCCTTTTCATTGGCATTCTTGACAATCTCTTTTGTAATTTCTTTAACATCATCATTATTCTTTTTAATGATACTTTGTTCAATCTCTTTTGTAATTTCTTTATCATCACTATCATTCATTTTAATGATAATTTCTTCAATCTCTTTTGTAATTTCTTTTTCATCCTCATCATCATTCTTTTTAATGATAATTTCTTCAATCTCTTTTGTAATTTCTTTTTCATCATCATCATTCTTTTTAATGATATTATGATCAACCTCCTCAGTAATTACTTCCTTCTTCACTACCGTTGTAGGTGAAAGTGATTCAACTTGAGCCAATAAATCAATGACGCGTGACTAATGGCCAAATGCAAATGGTAATTATTAATGTAGCAAGGAAAACAAATAAGGAATATCAATAAATGAATAACGTTAGAAGAATATGATATACCTGTAATTCTCCATTCTGCTTTTTGACTTGATCAAATCGAGTTTCTAATTTTATAAATTCTTTATCTCTCTTATCTCTTTCAAATGACCATATCATCATCTATTATTAAATTAAATCAAACAATTAATAAAATCAAATCAAAAGAAACACGATTGGAAATACATAAAAAACATTTAATTGATGTTATTACCTGTTTTTCCATTGCATTTCCGGGTCCTCCTGAAATGTTTTTATGATTCTCCAATTTAATTTGCAAGTCGTCAATAGTAAAAGATTGTGAACTAGTGAATAAAAAAAATCGGGTGATTAATACAACATCATTGAATTAGAAATTTCATGAGGAAAACAAATTTTCTCACCTAACAACGGATTTTAACTGTTTGATCTCATGTTCACCAGCTTTCAATATCACTTCCATTTTATGCCATTTTCCTACCAAAGATTCCATTAATCTTTTTTGCTCTTGGAATTTTCGTGTATCAGCTTCCCTATGATAATTAGGAGTTATATTAATTATATTAATACATTATTTAATTTATGAATTACAATTTTATTTCTTATTTATTTACCATAGCATAAGCTGTTTTGTTAGCTGATCGATTCTGTGTTCGTATTCTGTTAATTTCTGAAGTTGTGGCTCATGTAAAATGATTTGATTTTCAAGCGAGAAATTCCTAAAGGAGAGGTACCGGTACTAGTTATTAAAAAAGAAAACTCTCATAATTTGATAAAGCATATTATTACTCACTTTGCACTTATTTCTTTGATCTGCTTATTTTGCACGTCTATTATAAGCTAAAACAAGAAAAAAAAAATTTTTTTTTTAAAAAAATAAATATATATATTTATAAGCTAAATTTTACACCCTCCCTACCTTGGCTTCTCTCAGCTCCTGCTCAACTTTATCCAAAACACCTTTCCACTCCTTTTTCTCTTCTCTATATTTTTTCAATTTTCCATTTAATTCATCCTCCCATTGAACATGCCTTTTTTTAATATGAGCAGTTTCGGTTCTTTGCCTATCAAACGCAGCTTGAGTATTTGATAATTGTGATCTTAATGTTCTACAGGTATTATATAAATTTTGTCTTTCGGCTTCAACTGTACTATCTAACACATGATCACGGTGTAATCGACCAATATGTTGAAGGTGTTGTTGTTTGAGATAGAATTCAAAATTCAATTCATTCCTTAGAAGCATTATTTCACGTTGCAAAAATGCCACACTTGCTTGTATATTTGTTGTCGGTTTCAATGGTGGCGCGTTATTTTCAGGTGGTGAAATAGGATGACTACTAGAGAGGGAATTCGAATATGAGATGATCTTGGATGCCTAACAAATCAAAACTTTGATTTAAAAATTTTGTTGAGACGGATTATAAAGTAACCAACTTTAACTCAAACCTATTATTACCCAAGGATCATCTCCTACAACAATATCAGCACCACTTTTAAGAGCCTTATGGACTTCCATAATTTCCTTCATAGAAATCGCCTGTGAGAGAGGTCTCGCCTTTTTATTTCTCATCTCAGACATTGTCGTATCGGCTTCCTTCAACACTTTAGTGAAACCTTCCAACTCATTTGAATCATACTTTTTAGTAGCATTTTCCATATCATAACTAACATATTCGGCAACAATATCAGCTGGTTCAAGTTTCATCCATCTTGACGTATCAGAAAGCTCCTTCTCGGCATCGCTCGTTATAAGACTTGGATGAAGTTTATGCCGTCGCAATAATGGCTTAAAGGTTTTTTTTTTAAAAAAAAAAATAGATTTAATACAAGGTTTAAAAAAAAACAACCATAATTTTGTCTCTTATTCGCATTAATTACCAAGCTTCTTGCTCTTATAATCTCATCATCGATATCATCTACTGCAGTAACCTGTTCCATTTCTTTGATCCACGCAGTTGGGCTCCTCAAAAATTTTACGGTATTGCACGGAAACATACCATACAAAAACGTAAATAGATGCATGCAATTTGGTGGACTGGATGACACATTATCAAAAGAAGAATCTATCGGAAAGATAAGGTTTTGTTAAACATAATAAAAAATAAGGAGAATTAACCCTTTATTTTAAATTTTTTAATTTACCACATTGCTCCCAATTTACGGCATTTACTGCTTCTGAAGTTTGTTCATCATAATCATTCCCTATAATTTCATCTTCGAAATCAATAAGTCTCGCATTATGTTTATCCCAACATATAATCCTAACAAAGACAATATATAACCTTGGGAGGTAAGTAATAACGGATGTACATATATGAGGTAGTAGCATAATTAATGATGTAAGTGAAAGTGAAAGTAAAGTTGTAGACGTGTCTTGCTGTAAATTTTTTTGGTAACGAAAAGGATTCATTAAAATCTTGTAAGAAAAAAAAAATACTTTCAAAATATAGTTTAAATTAATTACCTGAAGTGAAGTTAACAAAGAATTGAGTAATGGAGTTTCTAAGATTTGATGGATATGTGAATTCTTAACAAAAAACAAAATGTTAGATACAAAGATAAAAAGAAATAAAATAATAATAATATACAATAATATAAAAAACCTGTTTTCTAATAAATTCTCCAAATAAGGTTAAAACTTGCAGCCTATAAAGTCTTTGAATAAAATATGAATTTAATAAAATAAAAAATTCCTAAAGAAAAAATATATAACAAATTTTTTTTTTTAAAACAAAATCTATTGACAAACAAATATTTTTACTAGATCAAATCTAATTACCTTGGTTTTAACAGCACCAAATCCCCTTAATACACTGTCTAAATTACGACACCAAAATGCATGAACTTGTTCCCCAACAATACCTTCTTCTCCTCCAGCGGCCTTTCCCACCGAACATGATTCTTTTAAATATAAAACGAGTATTTCCTTTCTAAATTCCAAAACTTTATCAGTTTCACATACTAAAACATCTTGAACTAGTCCCTTTACTTGTTCAACAATATCTTTTGGTTGTAAAGGTGATTGTAATACATTAACTAATACATTATCCCACCAATCAGATATAATAATATCGGGTCCTAATATAGGTAATAATGCTCTTAAACATTTTAGAAAACTACAAAATTTATTAGGAAAATCTTCTATCGCATTATACAATTGATGTAATTCGGACGAAATCTTTTCAATTTTATCAGCTTTATGCTGTTCTGCGGTGGATTCTTGTGCTGTAATGAACTTTTCAATCGAATCTATGATAGGTTGGACATTTGCATTTGAAGAATTTACTATTATTGAAATGTTTCTTAAAATATCTTTTAATGTGATCATATTTATATATCTGAAAGAATAAGGAAAATTTTATTAAGAAACCCCATTTATATAGGAGGTTTATCATTGTGTGATGGTAGGTCACGGGAATAATTTAAAAGGAAAGATTGATCTAATTTGATTATCATTAACAATTACGTAATGACCGATAGCTTTACTGCGCACGATTCAACGGACGCTTAAATGCAACTACTTATCTTGTGGAAAATAAAATAGACGACAGAGGAACATCCGGTCAATCATGATAACCGAAAAATCAGTTCTTTGGAGAAGAGGCTTTAAACCTTAGATAAAGTAAAAATTCCATAATATAACAAAACAAAAAAAGCAAAAAAAAGATCTTTTACTTTTGGAGGATGATGAATGGCTGGTTAAGTTTAGCTCCTAGGGGAATTTTCTTTCAAGTTGCAAGCTTGACTTACAAGACTCACTTTTTCATTTCTGTAATATTATGCTAAAGTCAAAAATATTATTACAAATATAAAGAAGGAGAAAAGAGATACAAATACTTCAAGTAACTTTATTACAAAATTAAGAACAAAAGCTAATTGATAAATTATCTATTAAAATCTTTATAAATAACGTTCCTCCCACGAAAAAGTTTTTTTGATCCTAAAACGTGAATCAACCAATTTTTCACGTTCAAAGTTGATTGATCATGTCCGAATTTAAAAAATGCGTAAAGCGGCATTTGGAAGCTATAATTAATCATTGTTTGCATGATATACTCTCTTGTTCAAGAGATTTAAAATATTAATAACGGCCTGTCAACAATTTTCAGTGACACATTAATACTTTCTTGTCGCACTTAATATTGAATTGTTTTTTAAAAAATAATAAATGAACAAAGGGTTGAATTGAAACACATCAATTCATCTAAAAGACGGCCAAGATTGCAATATAGTGTTGCAGAGAGACATTCGGGAGTACAGAAAAGTAAACGAGACAAGTTAAAAATGCAACCATATAATCTTATTTACTGTTTCGGTTAGTCAAACATTTAATTGGCATCTTGAAACAGTAGACCAAGATATTAAATCTGCAAAGATGGACATGGCATCGAATCTTTACGGAAAAAGCAAACCTATACAATATATATCCGAGAACAATAGTTCCTGTTCCAGTTAGTTGAAAGATTTTGATTGGCGAATCAAGTGAATTCAATAGACCAAAACGTTACAAATATGTTCGACAGACCTGAAACATAACGGATCGATTTCAATCTTATCCGCAGAATTTCCTTATTTGCTCAAATTAAATTTATGGTTCAAAGATCTTTTTTAAAGTTTCTTTCTTTATGTAGGTGCAAGGAGATTACTGAAATGCGCGTTACACCCATTTGTAAATGATATGTAATCAAACCCATCTCAATCTTTTTAAATGAACTTGTTGACAGGAAATTCGTTCGATTCATTCTAAAGCATTGATTGATTTTGAAAAAAATAATCAACTTACGTTAATCAGATTTTTAAATAAAATTGTAATTCGTTTCAGAAAAGAAGATTAAGTTTTAGTATTTCAATAACATTAATAATAATCGGTTCTATTTTCAGATAATTTTTAATATTATCATAAATAATAAACAATCCAATTTTTGTGTCATAAATTTTTAATAAATTTTATTTTGCCAAAATAATTTTTTTTTGCATAAATTAATAGTTTTCATCTTTCTTCGTTTTATCTATATTCTAAAAAAAAAAAAAAAAAATCCAATTCATAAATATCATCATTTGTATGTTTCTTCTAAAATAAATTAAATCGATCGTATAAAGAAAGGCTAAGCCTCTCACGCGAATTCTATGATTCCCAAGTAATATATATACATATATTAAAAAAGAAAAAAAAACGAATATGTACAGAATTATATAAGCATTAATACGCGGTAAACATAATTTTGTATATAACTTATGTTATAAAGGAGAAATAAATATCTAAATATATATAAAAAATTTTAAAAAAAAAGTAATTATAATTTCGAAATCTAAAATTAAATTGTTTCTAATGCGCAAGGTATCCGGATTATTTAGTAAAACTACGTATAAATAAAATTCTTTAAAAAAAGGGGAATACATATAAATTAGGTTATTAGGAAGTTTATAAAGCATATAGGAAAAAAATAACTATGTTAAATTTCTATTAAAATTAATTCTAAACGATATATTTACTTTTATGTGTATTTTTCTTAGCTTAATGCAAGATTTTGTTTTTTTAAAAAAAAAATTTTTAAAACTTATCATACATGTGGGAGGATGATGTAAGGAGAGTAAAACTGAAAAAAATCGCTACAACAAATAAAATTACGCGAAATAAAGGAGAATTCGTATGATACCGGAGTGAGGTTATTTTCTTTATCGTGATATCGTTATATTAAATAGTTCGCAAATGTTCGGTTCTTTTATGACATTTAAATAAAATATACGTAAATCGTTATTAAAATAATTTCTTTCATTTTCATATTTATAATTGTTGGGAATAGTTGAAAGAATGTTTCTCATTCATCCATTCCATTGGACGCTCGACATATAGGGAAGTATCAC